CAATAAGCGGGACGTCAAACTGCGAGGGGGTATTAAAAGGTGCGTTGATTCGGGGTGGAAATCAGAGAGGATGGATTGTGCAGGTATACTCAAGTAGCGTCGATCATTTTGAAGAGAAACAAAAGAGAGATGATTGACTTTATTGACAAAGTAGGTACGTGGAGAGTCGTTATTAACGGCAATAACAAGAGTTAATGAGAGACAGATTTTTTTAATTTTATACTTTATTCATGGTGTGGTCGATCAAGTTTTCCGTAGATATTAATTTGATGTTTGGCCTTAAGGTGTTAAGTATTCTAGTGACAGTATAACAATAAAAAAGATACAGTGTAAGATTAAAAAAAATACTTTTTATCCAATTTTTTAAGATTTTTGTCCGAATACCAATTTTTTATTTTTTTAATTTTTTTATTAATGGAAGATAACAGTTTTTCGGTATCGAAAAAGTTCGTAAAAAATGTCCGCAATCCTCGCAATGTATTGAAAAGCACACGTAATTAAAACGAGCGAGGCGTCAATGCGCGTTTTAAATATAAATGAAGTGGCTCGATGCGACCGCGCCTCTGCAAGAAAGAGAAGCTTTTAACTCGAACGTGACAATGCGTTGACAAAAAAAAAAGCTTGACGATTGGCGTGATTGAGCTTTTATTCGGGAGCAATGGGGAGAAAAGCAGCACCTGCCAATTAATTTTGCCAATAAAAATTACGCGCACGCGCCGTGTCCCTCTCTTTTTCTTTTCACCCTTTTTTTCTATCTCACGCTCGAGTCTGTCAACTGTTGGACCGTTGAAGTGGATTTGATGTGCATTTGATTTTGTTTTTGAATTTCTGATTGTTTTTCAAATCTTTCATTGATATATTTTACCAATGAAAGAGCTTAATGCCACGCGTAATTGGAAAAGGAAATCCAGCCACTCTACATGTTGTAAGTCATTTTTTTGTACAAATTACTTTATTTTTTGAACATTTAATGACCCGAGCCCGTGTTGATATAGCTGATGCTAAAAAAAAATCTGTATTTTTAAAACACACACCACCTAATTAATCTACCAGGACTGTTAAATTACGAAAGAATTTGCGAAAAGACATCATCATTTATATTTAATGCAGTAAACCACCCAAGCCTCGATAAATATTTATTTCGATTTATTGGTATCCAACTCTGAATTACAGACATTATTAAATGAGATCAAGTTATAAATAACCCCATCGACTTCTCGGAGTCAATGCATCCACTAATTAATTACATTTACTCAGCTTACCACGCCAAGAGTCTGCTCGGCAATTCATCAATAAAGAATTTTTGTAATTATTGTGAACCGTACGATGACAAACGTTAAAATAACTTGAGATGTTGAACTTTGTTTCTCAGTTACAATAAACTATCTATTTTTTACATACATTTGAAAGCCCTTATTTTTTCTTCCAGATATTTGTAGTTTGCCTTTTAATCAAACCTGAAAGTAATATTATGCGCCCATACATACGTGGAGACATTAATCGTATCAAAGGCTTATTTATGAATCCATTGGTACGTAATTCAGATCCAATAAAAATACTGGTACTGCGGTCGATTAATTTATTACACCGATTCATTGCACGGTCAGAAATACATTTTTCCACAGTAGTGAATAAAAACTAGTGATTATTAATCAATGCCCTGAAATTTTGCCATAAACCTGAGTTTGAATAACGTTAGAGTTAAAAAAGTTAAACGCGATAATTAAAATACCAAGGAAACAATTTCATTTGATTTCCGAGAATGTCAATATCACACACCCAAAGCAAGTGTGTCGATGAGAGTAAAATGAACACGTCAAACGGAATCTGATTGATTTTCTACTGAAAAAAAAAAAAAAAAAAAAAAAAAATACATTCACTTAAATCCACGCTCGTGGAGCTCACCGGAAATTTAAATAAAGGCAAAAGCACGTGGAGAAAGCAAGTCTCTTCAGAATCGTCAGCTGGAATTTCAATTTGCCGAAAATTCTTGGTGCTCAAGCGCGCACACACGCCCAGAGCCGGGAGGAAAAAAAGCAATTCAGCCGGCCCGGCCGTCTAGGCTCTCGGGGTACAGCCGCATAGCCCCGGTATCCCAAGAATTTACACAAAAGCACATAAAAAGCCCATAACCGAGCTTGAGCATATAGTAGCGCCGAGAGTTCCCCTCTGTGTATGGAAGACACTCGCTCCTGAGCCGCAGCCAGCCCGTAGTTTCCAGTATACGCCTCTTCCACCTCGGAAAGAAGAACAAACAAAAAAAATAAAAATAAAATAAAAAATGAAGAAAAAAGGTACAAACTCAGAAACGCACGAGCGCTCTGTACCTCCAGCGCCGCCATGGCCCGCGGAATCCAGCTCGCTCGATATAGAGTCGCGCGGCGATTGGTCGGAGCCCGAGGTGGGGGCGAGTCTACCGGTTGCCCCGGGCAACTCTCCCGCGTAACCTCCCCCTCTTTCTCGCGATATCGCGGGAAGTAGCGCACGCGCGAGCCAACCGATACTCCACACGGAGCTCGGCTGTGTCCTTTTCTTTCTTTTCGGGGATCGTTTTGGTCCCCCTCTGCAAAGGTCCTCTAGGTCGGACGCGATTTTTCGAGCTTTTTGTCGCAAGCTCGGATGAGGTTTCTGCGTCGGTGAAATTTTCGCTATCCGAATCGGCTGGATGCTCTTTGCTCCCTCTTTTTTTTTTTTTTTTTTCATGGTTTGAACAACGCGCGTGTATACTTTGGTCTTTTGAAAAGAAGCTCCATAAGTTTAACGCTGTTTAACGTACTCATTCGACCCAATCGGCATTACAACTCGATAATTAAGCACAGATTAATTCTAATTTTCGTTCTTTGCGCTCAAACGCTCGTAATGGTGGTAATGACGGGGATAAATAGAGATTATCAAGTATAATTTGGTGGCTAATGTGTTTACAATTGCGCGATTCTTCGGGCGTATAAGTACACCATAGCCGATGTATAAACCAGTTGGTTAGTAACCCGTTTGTTCTTCGGAGGGTTTTTATGGATTGTAATTAATTTGACGAAATTTTGAAGAACCATCTCTTGCAATAACGCATCATCAAAAAAATCTCATTAAATTTCAAGCTTCATTAAAAGCTGTCAGTTACGAAAAACGTTTTATTTCCCTTACCCTGGAATGAAGTATACTTGCAAAACATTAAAAAAAAATCGACGCACAGTATAGTACAGGACTAAAATTATTATTAAAAAAAAAAAAAAGTCCTGCCTCCCTTTCGCCACCACAACTCTACCCTCCATCTGAATTCCAAAAGCCCATTTCAATTAGACCGACGCCCCCTCGGCGTCTCTCTGCGCCCTCCGCTTCCCCCGAGCTTGCGAGTCTCGGCTGCTTTTCTCTGCCAGCAGATCGTCGTCGAGGCACATTCTCCTCTCCCCTTTCGAACTTTCGGCTCCACGCCCTCGAGTGGAAGATTATTCGAATCTCCTCGGGAGATGCCCACACGCGACTCACGCCCTCTTCTTCTGACACATGTGTGTGTGTCAAAGGCGAAATGCCGAGAGACGCGCGCGAGCGAGATGTGGGTATATTGCAAATGGATGAGATGTGGATGACGATTCGAGTACAGTGTACGGTATACCGGATTTATGAGATATCGAAAGATACAAAAGTTCTGTACTTTTATTTTTAATAATAAAAATACAAAATAAATCCGTATTTAAATCAAAACTGAATTAAAAATCAATGCACTTTAAGACATGTAATGAGTTTTCGGGAGGATAAAGAGGATGAAAAATAACATTTACGTAACCGATAAACGATCATAGTGACTTGATAATCAAATGATGAGTCGATTCGTAAAAATAAGTGCCAAGCTAACTTGTTAATAACAACGTATTTACAATAAACGATAAATCTAGTCCTCCGCAGATTTCGTTATCTAATAGCTCCTATTACTTTATAGCCTCCCACGATTTTGCTCTTTCATATTTCGGCTCCACAGCCTCAAGAAAGCTGCTTGATATGCAGCTGACGTGTGGCTTGACTGACGCTTTGAGTTGCGAATAAAATTTTCACGAAATTCCATTAGCCCCAGGTTTCCTCTGCAAGCACATACCAAGAGCCTCCTTTTCACGAAGAATCTCTAAAATTCATGCTTCTCATCGAGGTTACATAGCTCCGATTTTTAATTCCAAAGCTTCATTTTCACGTCACAAAACTCCCCCCAAACCAACAAGGATCCCAGCCCTCGCAAACTCCGTACACCCTCGATCTTTGACCTTCCAAAAGTCCAGGAACTCCGGCCTACCACGAAAACACCAGGGACGCTAATAACGCACACCCAAGAAGACACCGTCAGCCGGCACGAATTAATTCAACGGCTTCATCATCGTCCCCATGTACTGGAACGGAAACCAGCAGAGACACGCAACCAAAGACGGACCCTCAACCAGACATACGGCACGCGTATACGGCCTTTTGCGGTTCTGACGGTCTCTCCGAAGAAGTACGCGCGAAGGACAGAGAGAAAGAGAGAGAGTGAGGAAGGAGGGGGATAAAGGACGAGGATGCCAATGGAAATTCGCACCCAGGCGTCCCAGGCTTAGGCCAAGTTTCACTTTAATCCGGAAAGCCGAGGTAGGCCGTGGTAATTGATACGGGAACGCGAAACTTTGAGAGACTCGCTCTCCGCTACTTTGGTACTGTTGCTACTGATGATGATGCTGGTGTAGCACCTGATGCGTACTACTAATGTGCCTTGCATATCTTTGTCACGGTCGCGAAATCACTCAGACGCTCGGTGACAAAGACGTGTGGGAATGGTGCCGTGTGGCTTTTTAAAAAAAGTCCATCCGTGTATACACTGCGGAGACAGAACTTTGGGATATTTTTCTGTTTTTGTTTTTTTTTTTTTAGTAAACATGTCTTTCCTCGCACATTCATCAAGTGATTGCGCGATAATATATTATTGGGCATAATGTGAATTCGCCATGGATGAATAAAAACATGAACGTGATGGTCACACCAACCTGGACTCTGCTCTCGGTGAGTCCGATTCTCATGGCGATCTCTTCCCTGAGAAAAATGTCCGGGTAGTGGGTCTTGGTGAAACACCTCTCGAGCTCGTTCAGCTGGGCTGGTGTAAATCTCGTCCTGTGTCGCTTTTGTTTTGCCGGCTTGTCGTCGATCACCGTGCAGGCGTTTCCACCTTCGAGCGTGAAAAATGGGAGCTTAGTAACTCGGCACGCCGGGTTTTATTTACGTAAAGGTTGTTATTCGACCGATGAAGATTGCATTTTCCCTTTCCCCCTTTTTTTCCATGTACGTGATCGTTGGAATCAAGCTTTTTTTTACCATCCCCGCTTAGGATGGCTGAGTTGTGAGATAGTTGCGTTAATCATTTTTTGAAAATTTATTTATAAATAATAATCAGCTGGAACATGGATACTATATTTGGTAACAGATTAATAGACAGCAGTCACTTTTTGTGAACTTCAACCGTAAAATTTGCCAATGCAATTGATGTTTGTAACAATAAGAGAGAAAATCGTTATTGGAAAAATTATAAACTGGTCTCGATGTGTGTAAACTGTATAATATGAATTCATGTGTTCCATAATAAAGACATGCTGGAACAATTGAGTATAACACTCATTTTGATTACATGAATTTTAAATATAAAAAGATACTTTTTAATAGTTACATAGAAAAGATACACAGTGTTAGTTTGATATACTTATTGAATATTTTGATATTATAATGTATGATGTAAGAGCTCAGTTGTCCTTATATTAGAACATGGTATTTTTCCCCATTTTAATCTCAATCCTCATCGGAGCGAATTGATAATTGAAAAAAACAACCACTACCTTTGATAAGTATTAATAGTAAAAGTATGTAAAAAAGGGAGAAATTACAGTTGAACAAACCTGTGCCGGGCATCGTCATGATTAATTCCTGGGGCAGGGTGAGGCCTCCACCGGCTGAGAGGCCACCGCCAAGATTCACTCCCAAGACGCCGTCCAATTTATCGTGTCGCTTCAGATCCTGCGCGTGAAGGTCCTTTGTTCCTGCGTCAGTAAAAATTTACGAGCTTTCCAACTTTCCTCCCTTTCGTCCACACTCGCTTTCCTTCTCCCCCAACTTGCTCTTTTTAGTCCTCATCATCGTACTTTTTTTCTTTTTTTTGTACAAGTACTATGTCATTATTATATCACTCGCAGTTCTTTGAATACCATAATTTGCCCTCTTCTCCTACCCCAATAGCTCGAAGATCACCATTGTTCACTGAGACGCACCTGAGTACTCGAAGAAAGGAGAAAAAAAAACTTTAGCTCTCACTTACATTTTGGACTCTCTTTGCTAGAAAATTATCAACTCAACTCTCTTTAAGCGTTTCCTCGCGGTCTCAAGATCTCCGATGGTTCCCAAAACCCAAACGTCTGCCACGTCCTCTTAGGATAACGTACGAAAACACCACGCGAGCCCCGAACGCACGTCAGAATGGCCCGCGTCCCGTGGACAACTCCACGCCAGGGTTCATGACCTTCACTGACGCACGCACTCTTTGGGAGGGGAAAAAAAAAAAGGAAAAAAAGGATCGAAGCAAAAACCAAGGCACGGCAAGACACAGCCGAGCAGAGAAAGGGAACGCGCGCGCGGCTTCTCTCGGCCGACTGGGCTTTAGGCTGGGCTCGCGCGTATTTCTACCGTCGCCCATCGGCGGACGCATCACCTCATGGACGACAGCATTGAAATTTAATACATCAGGTTGGAGCAGAAAGTATAGTGGTCACTGGGCAAAAGGCAGTCGAACGGACGAGGAGATCGGCTCCGTGCGCGTGTGTGCGCGGCTTACTTAACACCGAGGTGCGAGAATCGTCACCGGCTTCTCGCTCCGCCGCGGGCTTCTAAGCGAGCAAACATCACCGACTCCCGTGTGCTCCTCCCTCCCTCCCTCTTTCTCTGCGTGTACGTGGTTATAATATGCTCGTATCGATGTGAACCTATGTGTACGCGTGCATATGTAATGCGCGGGTGGGCGAGGTAAGGGTTGAGGTGAAAAAAAAAAAAAAAAAAAAAAAAAAAAAAAAAAAAAAAAAAAAAAAATAGGGACCGTAGGGATAGAAAATGTTTGAGCCCCAACATATCTACTTTTAGTTCACTTCATGCCGCGTGGTGATCGAGTTTTTTTTTATTTAAGCCATGTCTGCGTACATAGTGGTTAGTTTTATTGCAATTGAAGTTTTTGTCTACTACGTAGATCTCCGATGCTTAATAATGCGTGAAATGGATGCAGTTTGTAAATAGGTACTGTTTCAATCAAACAAGTATCGTTTGATACGTTGAAGATTGTAATGAAAAAGCAAAAGCTGAAACGATTGAGCAATCATGTTCCAAGAGATATTCACCCTAGTCTTACGACAAAATGGCCATGTATACCGGTTATAGGGAAGATCATGGATATATGATGTGATTTACTTGTCATAAATAATGATAAGCAATTATGAGCAATAAATTGATTTATAATAATGATAAATACAATGTTCGTTGATTGGAGAGAGCAATAATAAAAAAGAAAATTTGGGAGGTATAATTGTAAATGAAGTTAATGCAAATCTTGCTTGGCAAGTCATGATAAACGGTTATAATCTTACGATAAACAATAAGTGAGTTAATCATAGTAGTAAGAAATTATAAACAACAGTTAACTCTCGGAAGTTGATAATAATCAAACTTTTGATAAAAAGTGTCGTGTAATATAAACTCTTCATGAAATATAAGATAAACCGTGATAAATAATGGTAAGCTATGATGGCTTGTAATAAACAATGTCAAGCAAGACTGTGATAATTCAAATGGTGAGTACCTATTGAGTACCTATAAGTAACCGATGATGAAAATTTTTGATGATTATAACGTGTTAAGCAAGTTGAGAAACAATAAATGATGATGAACTCAAGATAAGCCATAATAAGTATGTTTGTGATTGTCAGAGATAAATAATGATAAGGGGTGTCGAACTTTTGGTAAACTAGCATGTTAAACAGAGATGAATGGTGATATGTACTAGCGATGGACGTTGTCAAGTAAGCTTAGGATAAATAAAAAAATTAAAAATCGAAAATATTGAGAAGCTATGAAAAATTTGCAGTAAACAAATTACTATGAATGACAAGCAGTGAGAAATGATGATGTTCTTGAATTAAGTAACGGGTACTTAGCAAGCTTGTGAATTAGCAGTAGTACATAGAGACGATTGATGAAAAAAAGAGTACTTGTGAGAAATGATGAAAAAAAATGATAACTTTGTGATAAACTCTTGAGAAGAACGATATTCTCGTAATGAGCAACTACAGGTCGTTCTAAGCAATGATATTTTCACGGTTAATAATAACAAGAAAATTCATGATTAGTAGGAATGAGTGGCTATGATCAGTTTGATGAAAAACAATAATAAGAGATTTACGATGTACAGTGATGACAAGTAATAAATGACTTTGATTTTGTGATAAGTAATGATTAACTTTTATTAAACAGTGATACGCATTGATAAACGATGATAAGTTTGAGATGAATGATAAATAGTAAATAATCATTGATAAGCAGCAGTAAGTAACAATAACTGTTAGTTTTCTTCTATGACATATTGTCTACTTGAGAAATTCCTAGTCAGTAAACTGTGTATGTTTATGTAATCAAACCCAGTATATCAAGTCTTCATCAAAAATTATAATAATTTTACTTTATTTATTCGAAAAGGAAAACATCCATCTCGAGAATTTAGATCGTACTTACATCATTAAACTACATACATAGTGTACATAATGTTGCATATTACAAAGAATTTGTGTAACAAAGAATTAATTCAAACAAAAGGAACTATAGAAAAGCACATCTTGCACATAATATTTCATGTCATATTGATTTTTCTGTTGAAATTAATTTAAAGGTAACATTTTTTGTAAAGTGCTGTAAGTATCAATATTGGTATGTCAAACGTAGATTAAACCAATGAAACATTAACAGTCAGTTCATATAATTTATTGTAAATTTATGGACTTAATAAGTGTTCAATACAAAATATCAATGATATGCGTCACTGAAAAATTCAATGTCACTACAAATAAAGCAATCAATACAATTTTAATGTTGATTATCGAAATTATTACGATAAATAAGACTTAATGGGCAACTATAATTGAATTTCTTATCGCAGATCCACCCAAACAAAACAACGGAACACCAACTTTCGTTCCAAGAGCCACTTAATATACAGCACGTGCTCGCACAGGCTTCAACATAGTCGCGCCTCTCGTAATTCAATTACTGCCGTTCATTCATTCCCGGCATCAAAACCTGCTAAACTACTGGAATAAAAAAAAAAGAGGCACGACTACTCACTCTCTCATCTTAATCTCCCCAAGAGTCTCGTCGACGTGTCATCATCTCGGCCTATAAAATCTTTTCATAATATACTTGTATAAAAAAGAAAAAAAAAAAAAAAAAAGGATAAAGAAAAACACTAAAGGTACAAACAGCGAGAAACAGGTACATCATCCACACGTTGGAAACAAGTGCACGCGTTTATCCTGCCCAACGACGTCCTCATCGGCATGAATGGCACTTTACGACTACTAGCACCGCACACCGTAGTATATACTCTATACAACACACCCTTCCTGCGTTACAATTTTTATTCTTATTTTTTATTTTTTACGATCACTCACGAAACGAAATAGTACGCTAGCACGAGCTCGATGAGTCTCATTTCCGAATCTTTATTGCTGGGATCTGGCGAGCGTTTATAGTGGTCGAGGCCTTTTGATGGTTCCGGTTTGCCTTCTGAAAAAAAGAGGCGTTCGGGAAAGAAAAAAAAAAAAAAAAAAAAAAAAAAAAAAAAAAAAAAAAANGGACCCTTTCGCTTATTCCTAATGGAAATTGATTACATTGTCTTTGTAGTGGCTTCGGCTCTTCCTCGTTTTCCATACCTATCCGCTCCAACTCTAAGAGAAAAAATAGATTTTTTTTTTTTTTGGGGGGAGGAGGAATGGAAATAAATAATATTTAAAAAAGGTTCGGGGAAAAAAAAAAAAAAAAAAAAAAAAAAAAAAAAAAAAAAAAAAACACGATCCTTTGAGTTACACGTGAGTCCAGATCTGCGTCCTACTAGGCATACTGATTTCACAAATCCAACTGGATTATTTTTGGAAAGCTGAGGAGTTGAGTTTTGTCTGTGGCTCAGTGAGGATGGACGTGTACGAGCATCCTTATCGTCTCTCGAAGGGGAAGATCTTTGCGGTCGCTATCATATCGGCTTAGCTTTCTTTTAACGTTATCTATTCCATTGAAAAACGACTTTTATGATTTTTCAATTGGTAATGATGAAAAACAGAGTTCGATATTAATGGCAACTTTTTTTATATAAATGCATACCCATACATTAATTAAGTAATTAACTTTTAGATGAATAGTTATCGCCATAAAAATCAAAATTAAAAAAAAAAAAATACTCAAAGCAACTGATAAGTATTCTTACTATTTATTTAACAAATATTAAATATTTTTTAAGAAAATTCCGTTTAAAGATAGTATACCGTGTTTGCACTGCTTACTGAATGTCAAAGGACACCCGTCGCTCTGTACTATCATCGCGTCCCTGCATATTTGGAAAGTAATGGCTATTAAAATCTTGTCGTTTAAGAGTTTTTTTGTAAATTCATACCAAAATTATCTTATCTAATACGATTATCACGTGTCTTTAAAACGTGTCCTTTTTTGAAAATTTCTTTGGCAACGGCTGCCGCTAAAATAGATTTGATGAATAATCAAAAATGCATTGCAGCACAAACGTTTGCCAAGTATGCCAAATTAAATTTACAAAAAGATTCTTAATCATTTTATTTATGTACACTCGCGTTAATACATACAGCTATTAGTTGGTTGGAGAAATTAAAACAAGTAGCAAAGTTCTAGCAGCGATATGCTGCTTGCGATAGTAACTATGACAGTGTGCAATAATCATTTAATAATTTTTCTTGCTTTATTCCGATACAGAGCTCATCCTTATGTAAGATGTTACATTAGTTGCTAAATTTACTCGCAGTATAGCGGTGGACTTGCGGTACCCTAATCGGAACAAAGACCCTTCCCTGCTCCGAAAATTTGAGGGATCATGAACATTTACCTAACTTTTTTTTCTCTTTCAAAATCATCGATGATAATTCATTGTTTACAAAATAATGACTCTGCTTTTTCATTTGCAAAATAGGTAATTAGATCGTTAGCAGTACCTTCAATTTTTACCAAAATTCAAAAGGATTTTACTTTGATAAAGGTACAATCGTATGTGTAGATTTGTAAACCATGACAGGTGCGTTATTTTGTTACATTTTTTTGGTTTAACATTACCTCATTGATTCCCCCTACTTCTATCATTCATCCGATTCTGTAAAATACCATTGACGTTTTACAAGGTCTACTAATCCCTCAATCTCCTTGGATTCAATTTAAATCCTGAAGCAGTCATAAAATAACTAATCCTATTCACCAGATGTACCAATGAAAAATTCTTTCTTCTCATCCACATTTCAGGCCATTGCTAAAATTCTCAAGTCCTGAAGTAGTAATGAAGGGGCGTAACGAGAAAAGGTACGAGAAGAGAAAATTTGTCTCACTCAAGGGCACGCTACCAACGAGGAGTCACTCGATCGCCGTCAATTACCTGTGCTGGTATGTATCGAGCCACCGACGGATATATTGTTGAGCATGCCTCCACGGGGCCGCGGGCGTCGGCTCCTGCAGCGCTCGAGTACTCAAAGGACACCAGAACCTCCTCCACTGTACGTTCTTTCGGTTCGCCCTTTCACCCTACGTGGCCAAGATCACCGTCGTCCTGTCACTGCCGATTCACGTACTACCATGTAGCCACCGGTGACGGAACTCAACGCCCGCGCGAACAACCACAGCAACGGCACAGCGTTCGGTTGTTATCCTCAAACATTTTATCCTTCCATTTAAACCAGAAAAAAGAAAAACTCTAGTTTAAAAATTTAGGGGTAGCAGTCAGCGGAGACCCATGCCCTGCGCTGCCAAACAGCGAACTGCCCGGCTCAGCTCGGGCCGCCATGTCCGCAGCCCCTCCACTCCACTCTCTCTCTCTCTCCTGATTGCGCTCCACTAGCTTTCGTGCACGCGGCCCACCCCCTCGCCTCTCCCGTGGGCGTGATATTGAATCACTCCTACGCTCCCTGTCTCTGCGTGTGCTGTACGCCTATTCCGTGTGCGCTCGGGTACTTGGACATTTTTTGGATATTACTGCTCGACGCAGTGTATCTTGGGTGCTGTTTGTAGCGTCACTACGACTGGACTTATCGATCATTTTTTTTTCTTTTTTTTTCCCTCTCTTTTTCTTTTTTTCAGAGTCAAGGGGTTTAATAACCCACTGTGTCGAAGAAGACCTTTTTATTAAACACCGTACGAAAAATCGATGCTCGCGTCTCTTCATCCCTTCGAGGCTTAATCAACACTCTAAAGATGGTTGTCTTGATATCATTGCTAACGTGCTTCTCATACGCGATATTGAAAAAAATCCTCGTGATAATTACACGTTTGTGTTTTATGTTTTTGAAATAATGTTTTTTTTTGTTGAAGGCCAATCTTATAGCTTTAGATGTACTCACAAATGTAAATTGTACGATTCGATGATTCTTTTACTGGTGACAGCAGTATATTAAAATTTGTTTTATGGTCCACTTGTCAGAACTGCGTTGGATAACACAATACTAAGTATTCTTTCATAATTATCTACAAAAACAGTCAAGTTCTTCCCTAATTCATTGAAGTTGAAAAACCATCGATTGAAATTTAAGCTTATAAATCTCTCGTAAAAAAAAACCCCAATAGTCGTAGATGAACCAAAAGAACCAATAAAACTACTAGCTTACGTAATTAAAACCCACTGTCTCTTCACATATCTGAGATCTGGTCCTCATTAGCAAAATCATCGCGATCGCCCATCCAATTTTATGTTACGCACCCTACAAATATCCAACAACCGGTGCGGTAAAATCGCCGGCTAGGGGCAAGCAATACACGCAACAACGGCCCATCTCCGCGATCGCGGCATAAAGCACACCCCAACTTCTCTAGCTTTCTATCCGCCAAATCCTTCCTTCCTTCCTCGTCCGTCCCTTATTTCTTCCCTACGTCTGGCTCCGTTTCCTTATCCCGCACCCCCGGCCTGCCCTTATTTTTCACCCTCCCCCCGCACACGGCTCCCTCTCCCGCTCCGGCGAAAAATCGCTTTGCGCGTAGGGCGTGGCCCCGCGCCAGCCAACTGCAGCCGAGCTCGGCCTCTCTCCCTTCTATTTTCCGATCCACGCGCGCGATCGCGTCGACCCCCCCACCGCGCCACCCCGAAACCCGGGCAAGAGAGAGACTCGCCCACGCTGGCGCTCGAGATTTATTGAAATTTTATTTTTACGGTCGTCGTCGACGACGCGCCACCCCGAACGGAGGGAGGAAAAACGCTTTCTCGGGAGTACACCGAGGAGGGTGGCGCGCACTGTTTCTCCGCGTTTCTTCTTTTCCCGAGCACTGTTCCACCTCTCTTTCGCGTTCCTCCCCGTCGGCGACTCCTCTTAATTCAATATAACCGACTATCTCGCTCTTTTTATCCTTCTGTCTCTCGCTCTCGTCAATTTCTCTCTTTTTTTCCCAGCCAGCCATCTTCGTCCCTCTCTCTCTCTCTCTCTCTCTCTCTCTCTCTCTCTCTCTGTTGGCGTTTTTCGAATGTTTTCTCCTTCCCGTTGGATTCTTGAGACTGCAATTATGACGAGGGACGGATCGACGAGGGTCGTATTATTGAAATACCGCGGCGTTATTATCAAAGAAAATACACACGGAAGCACCTGGTGACTGTATATACGGTTGAAATGACACTAGCAACAATGTTTTTTTACCAACACAAAACAGTTGGTGTTAAAATCTGTGCGAGTGTTGCACGTTTTTGGAAAAAAGGAAAATGACAATCAAACATACATTATCCGTACTTTCAGTCGAGCCCAGTTATTGCAATAAACTCTGGGCATCCTCTCATCACAAAGCGTTCCTTGTGTAACACGGTACACGTGTACATGCCATTTTGATTAACAAAAGAACCCCGTGGCAGCCATACGCACGATATAAAACATCGCGTGGCGCGAGCATCATCGATTCGCTGCTCCGCGCATCCACTTTTCCGTCCTTCCATTAGGCTCGCGTTATCAATCCCACGCGGAGCTTGCAAGAACAAGGCTCGCTGTAACACCCGAGCGTTGGCGCGCATTAATCAACTTTGATGCAATTAGCGGATGCGTGCATTCCGGTCTCGGTCACGTTTGTGTGTACACCTGCTGTTACACACCAACTCATACGTCACTTTTCGAGGATAAATAGGACTTTGCACGCGTATACATGTACAACCATTGATGATGCTGGTACTCGCGATGATCGTCATCTGCACATGACGATGGTGCGCGTATCGATTAATTTCGGAATACGTACGTACCTACGCGTGTAGACGTGAGAATCATAGTTTGGTTTCGTAGCTGAAATATGGAATTTCGCATGAGCGATGCATGTTGGAATTCGTCGCGTTGGTATGCTCATATGAATACTGTGGCGTGAAAATTTATAAAGCTCCGTTCGACGGTAGAGCACATTTCGATACGTATTAAAAACTATCCTCTCCCATGTGCTCTTAGTATTCCTTTGGTGGGAATTTTAATTGTCAAGTTCCACGAATTTCTTAATTTTTCGATGGATTAATTTCAAGTTTTACTTGCTGATTAAACGATTTATTAACTAGAGAATGTAGTCGACTGTGCGTATCTCTGATTTCCAGCGTGCATGGAATCTTTCATTAAAACCTTGGCGTTCTTTGTTTCTCGTTTGAATCGTCACCTTAACAAAGTATACAGTATACAAAGGAAGGTATGTGATATTGGTTTGTCAACGAAGAAGTCCCGTGAAAGTCAATTGGATGATTCTCAATTTTTCTTTATAAAAAATCAATAGTCAACTCATATAATAACGAAAAAAAAAAAAAAAAAAAACAGTCATTAAAAAAAAAGGTCACTATACAGCGACGATTCTCTTGTGCAGTTGGTCTCGGGGAGCAATCGATTTAAAGCCAGCAGGCTATACCAGCAGCAGCCAGTGCCTAAATTGACAATGTGTCCAATGCAGGCTCGATGCCTCCGGGCTAAAACTACCAGGTATTTCTCTTTCTCTGCTCTGACTATTAGGTGCTCCGGAGTTCTTTCGGTTTTCCGTTGTTCGCTCGATGAATTATACATTTACGAACATATATGTACGTGTTGTACATACAGATGCTCGATCATCTTAATTATTTACACAAATTTTCCATTACACCACTTCAGGCTCATTACTATGGTGGAAGAACGTTAATTATTCAATTCACTACTTGATTCATCACATGATTCAGTTGATACGTATACTAGTTATTTATCAGAATTGTATTCCAACTGCAAAATTTCCACTTGTCATTGATGATTCTTGTATATAAAGTTAAGAGAAGCTGTTCTACGGTTGTCAACACTCGCAAGCTCTAGATGAAAAAGGACAATATCAGCTATGTAATTGCATCGTAAAAAAACGAGACGAGGCTGATGGAAGATGATATATAGCTCGTAGAGACTTGGTATCCAGTTGATCCTCGACTTTTGATGAATCAGGAATAATGTATCTATGACAAGCTTCATGCTATTTTTTCGATCACTATCTCGTATGTATTGCCTTAAAGATCACTATCGATCTCTTCCTACAGGATCGACCAGGACTGTTTCTTGCTTCTTTTGATTGTGTAACGCGTCTTTTTTTACGCTATCTGATAGGTACTCTGCAAGCCTTTGTTTGAATTCTAGCTTGTTTTTAGCTCTTTTACAGAAACACTGTCTCCTCAGTTTTGCTGTTTACTCGTTTCAACACTTGGTTGGTTAACCACTTGCCTCTACACCTTTTCTGCCTTAATTATTTAAGAACTTCATCGATAATCAGTCTTAAGCATTTAAACAGTTTTTATTGATTTTCAATTGCTAATTTCCTTATGCATTTGCAATATTACGTAGGTGTATGTTTGCGAAAATGACGAGTACATTGATGCTACATAGTCTCGGCGCGTTTACCCACTCGTGCAAACAACACCCTTGCATAAAGGGAAAGATAGAGGCAAGGATTAAGTATACCTTTGTTAAACTGTTAGCTTGATTCAATTTTCTCCAATTTGTGGCGATTTGTGCTTACAGCGCCGAGCGCGCGCACTCGCGGAGTGTGCTTGAGGCATACGTACCCAACTCGTGGAATACCTGATGCAGCCGGCTTACCGTTGATTATGCCCGGAATTTCCGAATCCTCGCAGAGTTGGGCCCTCTCGTGGTTTCTGACGCGGCTACTGTTGTTTTCATTTCGCAATACAGGAACTCGCGTGGGTCGAGAAACTTTGGAGAGCTTGCAAGCCACTTTTTTTCCACCAGCACTAAGATTACCTGCAGAGGATCGTAAGGGGGTGTATTTTGTTTCACTCCAATCATCGATTGACGATGCAAATATCTTAAAAATGAAAAGTCATACGTATACAAGTATTTTCTCCCCTCGATAAAACGATGCGTAACCGATTAGTTAAAAAGCAACGGTAACCATTCGTACTATGTACCCACAGGTCCACGTGAGTAGGGGTTGATTTTTTCATCCCCCTGGAATTCAATAA